GGTGCCCCGCCTTCAGCCTGTTGGGATTATGTTTGTTTATTTGTTTCTGCCTGAATTCAGATCTATTTCATACATGGCTTGGAAACTTTCAGACCCAAAAGAGCAAAAAATTAGGGAGGACTGGGTGTCCCTGCCCCCAACCCACCCACTATGGCTTGGGGACGGGTCATCTGTGTAACAAGTCCCCCACCCCAGGTCAGGTTGTACTCACCTGTTGGGGACGGGGGGTCCCCAGAAATGCAGCCAGAGTGTGTGACAAGGTGGAGGCTACTCAGGGGCCAGCCTGGGGGGTGGACTTCCCGCTTGGTAGGGACGGGGCCTGGCTGGGGCTGGAGTGGGACCCCCGTGCTGGGCTCCGACCCTGGGGTGTGCCCCACGCTGAGGCCGCGGTGGGTGGTTGGCGGGCACAGGCCTGAGCTGGGGCAGTGTGCAGGGTGCCTGGGCAGCAGACGCAGAGGGTCTGGAAGGCGTGGGGGTGGCGGGGAAGGGCCCGTGGAAGTTGTCAGTTTGTGTGAGGTTGGAATGTTCTGTTCTCTTTGAAGTTTAATTGCTGGTTTGGGGGGAAGGAACAGTGCTCATGTCGCCACTCGCCAGGGCTGCTTGTCCTGGTCCAGGGGCTGCCTCCCCCCCACGTCCCAGGCGGCCCCCAGACATGGCCAGAGACGCCCCCTCCGTCTCCCGATGTGAGGGGTCTCGCCTGGTGCCCCGTCCCCGCGCCTGCCTCCCCTGCCCCCCTCCGCCTGTGTGCACAGGGCCGGGAGGGGTGCTCAGCCCCACTCGGGACCCACAAAGCCGAGCCTTCCAGCTGCAGCCCTGTGAGGGGCCCCGTGTGGGGCTGCCTGGGGTGGGGCAGGAGGGTGTTAAGCTCTTTCCACCCACTCCTGCTGACTGCTGCCCTTCTGTGGGGCAGGCTGCTGGGGGTGGAGGGCTCCGTCCCAGCGGCACGCAGCCTCCCGGCCCCTCCGGCCAGGCCCCACGTGTGCCTGACCCCCAGATAGATCCGACAGCTTCCAGAACGGGGCGGGGGCCCTGGGTGGGCAGGCGCGTGGGAGCCGATCTCAGCCCCTCTGCCGCGTGGCCCGGCCCCAGTGCACGGAAGCCCAAGCCCTTGGTCCTTCGCCTAAAGGGGCTGCGGCTCCGAACCAGCCGCCTGGCCGGGGGGTGGGCTCTGCCTCTCCCTCCCCACCTGGGGCCCGCAGCCCCCGGGGTCCAGAGCTGAGTCCTCCCGGAACTGAGAGGAGGCCACACCCTCCAGCACCCTCAGGTGGCCTCAGGGCAATGGAGGTGACGGTGGGGAGGCTGACTCCCACCCACTCCCCTCTGGAGTTTCCTTTGTCTGCTCCCCCCACCCAAATTTGCACTTTAATTTGACCATCCCTGGGGACCCTCGGAAGACGGGCCCACCTGCCCCGGCTGTTGACGGAAGGGCTCGCTCTGTCTCCCTCCCTCTCCACTCCAAAGTGGGCGCGGCCGCCCACGGGGGCCAGGGCAGGGAGGGCGCCACTGGCCCGGCGGAGGGCTTGGTGGCCGCACAGAGAAGGCCTGGCCGGGGCCAGGCCAGCACAATGTCCGTGACCTCTGCCTCTGTTGTTGATACTCGCCGTCTGTTTTGTTGTTCTGGGTAAGGAAGGCAGAGCTCGAGGTGGAACTTTAATCTCTAAATGTGAATGGGTTCTGAGCTCTCCCCGGGCCCCGGGTGGGCCGGGCGAGCGTTTTGCACTAATGTGTCCCGCGGTGGTCGTGGGTCTGGAGCGTTTGCAGGCGGGCATGGCTGATGATTGTATGTGCCGGGGCGTCCCTCCGAGCCCCGAACGTTCCCCACGTGGCTTGTGGCGGCGGCCTGGCTCGGGGGCCTTCCAGAGTGCCTTAGCATCATTTGACCATTTCTCCCACGGAAAACCAGTTATGAAAACCGGACCCTCCCCCTCCTCTGTTTACAAGATGACTAATTCCTGTCCCGTCCGCGTGATCCTGACCCCCAGACCCTGTAGATGGAGAGACGAGCCACTCAGTATTTATGAGATGCGAGCACCTTTATCCCTAAGCTTGACTTACTAGCAATACGCATATACTACATAGTCTATCTAGAGCTAAGTCACAGCGGCGCCTTGCGAGGAGAGAGGGCCGAGGGCATGTAGCTGATGGGCCCGCCCTCCCGCAGGAGGCCCGGGAGGAGTGCGACAGGCCCCTCAGGAGGGCCACGGGGACAGATACTGTGAGCTGGGCGGGCTGCCCGCCGGCCGGCGTGCCTCGGTACTTGAATTCTGTCTTGTTTTCTGCACTGTGTCTGGCCTTGCCCAGAGTTCTCTGTGGTCACTTGACTTTGCGTTGGATTCGTTGTCTTACCTTGCCCGACTGGGTGCGGCTGTGGACCAGGGGCGCGGGGGACAGACCGCAGGCGCGAGCCTGCAGCCCCGCCGGCGGCCCGGTGCGAGTGACTGCGGTGAGGCCCGCGGCCTGGCACCGTCCCCTCTGGGAAAGTGCATTCTGTGTTTGTTCCGAGCCGGGCGGAAGGCGGGGTGGGGAGGCGCGCAGGGCCCGAGCGCCTGGCCCTGACCGGTCCCCTGCGCGGGGGACAGGGCCGGCACCAGCCCTGCGCGGCCTCCCCAGCTGTGACGGCGCAGATTCCCCTTAGACAGCTTATTTTTATGGAAATATCTCGCAGTTAGAAAAAAGGCCAATTACCCGTTAACCAACTGAAAGCTCCGGGAAAGCCTCCGCCAGCAGCAACCCCCCGCAGAATCAGGGTGCGTCGCTGCCTTGAGCTTAACCGCTGCTCTAGAATGTTGCTGCGCCTGAATCCATCACGGCGCCGCCGGCCGCCTCCGACCGCCCGCGCCGGGGACCCAAGGCCACGCGGGCCGCGCGCAGGTGTTCCCAACACAGCGAAGGTTTTGGGTTTTTCGTTTGTTTGTTTCTTGTGTTTCTTTGGAAAAAAATGAAAAGGAAAAAAGTTATGCAGAATCGAAAGCTTTCTGATTGGACAACCCGCTCGAATTCTGGTCAGTTGCGTCGTCTTTAGCGTTTTGCACATGACTGTAATTTTTATGTCAACAGAAGCCAAAACTTGCAATACTATTTTTAGCAGACAAAAAAAACCACAAAAAAACTAAGTATAAAAATGTATAAATATTTTTGACTTGAACATTCGGATGACTCTGGGTGCAAACAGACCATTTATCCTCTGGACGGGCTGTTTGGGGAAAAGACTTTTCAAAGGAGCCGGTTGTTGTGAAGCCTGTGAGGGGTGAGGGATTCTGTAACTCGCGACTGTTAAAAACAAATAAAACACGTAAACCGTCCCCGTGCTGTAGAACGGGTGGTTTCACGCACCACTGCGCTCGGTGTCGGCGCAGAGACGCTGGCTTTCTGTTTCTGTTTGTTTTGTTTTTGACGAAGGAGAGAACCTTTGTTCTCACGCGTCTCGGTCCCGGGCGGCTGTGCGGCAGAGTCGACTCGCATCTTAGCCGCGGCTGATGCTGTTTCGGTAACGCAGCCCAGAGACGCCCGCCAGCAGCCACGACACAGGGCTCCGAGCCTGCTCAGAGCCGCTTCAGAAGGTGGGATCCGTTACAGACAGACAGAAGGACGCGATCGGTCGGTCATTGTAAAGCGCTTTGTAAAATTCACATTTACAGAATAATAAAGTCAGTTCAAACCCAAGCGGCCTGCTCTGTGCTTGGGCAGGAGGGGGGGCGCTGAGAAGCTGGGGGGCAGTTAGGGGCAGGGAGACCAACTGTCCTGGGGTAGCCTCAGGTCCCAGGAGCCCGGTAGGGGAAGGGGCCACCCCCACGGTCCACACCTGGCCCACTGTCCACGCCCGGCCCACTGTCCACGCCCGGCCCACGGTCCACGCCTGGCCCACTGTCCACGCCTGGCCCACAGTCCACACCTGGCCCACTCCCCCTCCCTCCCCCAGGGTCTTACAAGGGAAGGGGCTTCTGGGCAGGACGTCCTGGGGGTCATGGGCCTGGGCGAGGGTCTCTCCTTTTTATTGTTTGCAGACTGGGGGAGACACCTCACCTGGCTCACCTGCCTGCCCCCGGCCAGGTGTGCACAGGGCCCCCTCTC